ACTGAGAGATAGAAGGACAGGGACATTAAATAGCTAAGGAAAGTAAGGAAACTTCTCATATTCACATTTGTCTTACAGTACATTTGGCTTTTTACCCTATTTTTTACAATAAACTTTGGTACTTGTATCATCAAGGTCTAACCTTATCTAGACATGGCAGAGTCAATCATGAATTAAAAAATGTAAGAAGTACTTTTATATTAATATAAAAAATATATAATTCTAGTTAGAGGGAGCCAAAATTGGGTTTTCCACAGCAATGTTCTCAGAGTTTTGTGCTTTTTGTGTAAAACAATTTCTTCACATTTCTTCTTCGGTGAAGGAAGTACCCAGGACCCCCATCCCTCTGTTGGCTTCAAGCTTCAGTGTTTGGGACAGATTTCTGTCCAGCTTTAGCCTGGTGTGGCTCCTGGACTCGAATGGACAGTCGTGGGCAGTATGTCCAAACTTCAAGTTTTGTTACGATGTCGCCAGCTGCGTATGTTGTGTCCCTGAAAGAGGGGATATAAAAAAAAATGTGCAAGGACAACGAAGCTTGCTTCAGTCACATTTGTAATGAAAGAGAAGCTTGCTGTGTGCTCCCCCTATAGGAATTCCTAGACATCAACAAACAAACTGTGCAGACATGAAAAGAGCACAGAGATTGTATAATCACACTCAGATGAATGATGAGCATACTGCTTGCTAGTACACTTTATGGTGCTGTACGAATATACTGTATTTCTTTAAGGCACATTTAATTATACTGAGGCTTGCTCATGGCTCTGGCTGCGTCTGCAGTGGCAGCACGTGATCGCTTGCCCAAGGCTTGGGTGGCCATCCACTGAGCGGGCTTTATGTCAGACACCTGCGTCGCCCAGTGAGGGCTGGGACTCAGCTGAGCCAGTTTGTTGCTGAAGTAGTAAGCAGCAACATTGGTCTTGGCTAGGGCTGTGGCGGTCATGAAATTTTGTCAGCCGGTGATTGTCAAGCAAATAACTGCCGGTCTCATGGTAATTGACCGTTAATTAACAAACATTTAGCATCTAGGCCATATGTTTTGATAAGGTTTGTCTCACAACTAAAGTGGCCAAATAACTTCTTAAAATTAAGCACATTAATCCACTTTACAACCGGTGTAGAGCCTAACTGGCATACATAGGCGGCACATGAGTTCGGGGAAGATAATTTTCACAATAAAAATTCACTTTATAATAAAGCATTAGGTGTGGGAGTGTTTGATTAGATTTTTGATTACATTTGCATTGACGTCAGCGTGATTAGAGGGACAATAGAGTGCTGAGGACCAGGCAGTTAGCAAGTTTGGTAGGCTACTAATGACCAGCAGCAGCATCAGAGCTTGGAGAAGCCTAGTTACCTTGACTAAACAGTCACGTGGAATTTGACTGCCGTCATGACTCGTGACCGCCGGTGTGGCAGTAATACGGTCAGCGTAACAGCCCTAGTCTGTTTCTCAATCAAATGTTCATGACTCATGTCCAAGTTGGATATATGATTTACTTGTGGAATGGGAGGCTGGCAGGGGTTGAATTTGGGGTTGGGCAGGGCCATGGCACTGACCATCCTCTGCTTGTACCTGTTGGCCAGGTATTGTTGGTGCTGTGCCTTGCTCTGAGCCGGGGCCAGAGCGGCTTGGTACCCACGATACGGCCATTCATTTCTGTCACAGCCTGGGTGGCCTCCTTCGGGGGAGGAGAGGGAAACAAAGCCTTTGCTGCGGCCACCCTCTGTCATTACCTTGGCACTGATGATTGTTTACAAATGCAGAAAACTCCTTCCTTAAACTGTGATCATCAAAGGCATCATCCAGGTTCTTTACAAAGAGGTTGATACCTCTGTATCTAGCCTTTGGGTCATGCTTCATTTGCCCAAACTTGGGTTCCAGCACGGTCTGGCGCTATGATTTCTTCTGGGCGTGGCACACATACAGTCGTGGTCAAAGGTTTTGAGAATGACACAAATATAAATTTTCGCAAAGTCTGCTGCCTCAGTTTTTATGATGGCAATTTGCATATACTCCAAAATGTTATGAAGAGTGATCAGATGAATTGCAATTAATTGCAAAGTCCCTCTTTGCCATGAAAATGAACTTAATCCCCAAAAAACATTTCCACTGCATTTCTGCCCTGCCACAATAGGACCAGCAGCCATCATGTCAGTGATTCTCTCGTTAACACAGATGAGAGTGTTGACGAGGACAAGGCTGGAGATCACTCTGTCATGCTGATTGAGTTAGAATAACAGACTGGAAGCTTTAAAAGGAGGGTGGTGCTTGAAATCATTGTTCTTCCTCTGTTAACCATGGTTACCTGCAAGGAAACACGTGCCGTCATCATTGCTTTGCACAAAAAGGGCTTCACAGGCAAGGATATTGCTGCTAATAAGATTGCACCTAAATCAACCATTTATCGGATCATCAAGAACTTCAAGGAGAGAGGTTCAATTGTTGTGAAGAAGGCTTCAGGGCGCCCAAGAAAGTCCAGCAAGCGCCAGGACCATCTCCTAAAGTTGATTCAGCTGCGGGATCGGGGCACCACCAGTGCAGAGCTTGCTCAGGAATGGCAGCAGGCAGGTGTGAGTGCATCTGCACGCACAGCGAGGCGAAGACTTTTGGAGGATAGCCTGTTGTGAAGAATGGCAGAAAAGAAGCCACTTCTCTCCAGGAAAAAAATCAGTGACAGACTGATATTCTGCAAAAGGTACAGGTATTGGACTGCTGAGGACTGGGGTAAAGTAATTTCCTCTGATGAATCCCCTTTCCGATTGTTTGGGGCATCCGGAAAACACCTTGTCCGGAGAAGGCTCGGGGAACAAAACATCGACATTTTGGATCCATGGCCAGGAAACTCCCCAGACCTTAATCCCATTGAGAACTTAATATAATAATAATATTATAATATAATATAACTTGTTGTCAATTCTAAAGAGGCGGGTGGACAAACAAAAACCCACAGATTCTGACAAACTTCAAGCATTGATTATGCAAGAATGGGCTGCCATAAGTCAGGATGTGACCCAGAAGTTAATTGACAGCATGCCAGGGTGGATTGCAGAGGTCTTGATAAAGAAGGGTCAACACTGCAAATATTGACTCTTTGCATAAACGTAATGTAATTGTCAATAAAAGCCTTTGACACTTATGGAATGCTTGTAATTATACTTCAGTATACCATAGTAACATCTGACAAAAATATCTAAAAACACTGAAGCAGCAAACTTTGTGAAGACCAATACTTGTGTCATTCTCAAAACTTTTGACCATGACTGTAGATCCTCCTCCCATTCAGCTCCTTCCTGTTCATTTCATTCACAGTTCTCTGTGTATCCTAATGCCTCTCGAACCCCCTCGACTTCCCGCTATCGTCATAAACTTGACACTCACAGTTGGTCCATATTTTTCAAAAAGCTCATTCAGCTTATCATCGTTCACAACCTCTGCCAAGGTTGTTGACAAACACGTTGTTGAACTCTGGTCTTGGCTCCAAGTTCATCTGGCCTCTTGCTCTTTTTGGTCATCCAGCAACATGCCAGTGAATTTCTCAATGGCTCTATCAGCAGCCTCCTGGGTCTCGTACTGGATATAACCACAGCCCTTGGATTTCCCTTTCTCGTCACAAACTACCTTGCTAGAGTAAATGTCTCTAAATGCTGAGAAGGTCTCATACAAATTCTTATGTCCAGGTTCTTGATGAGGATGTTTCCCACCCCGCTCTTCCTCAGGGTAGGATCAGGGTCAGAACTCATGATGCGCAGATATCTTCCTTCAAGCATATCATTGCTGAACATGAGCGATGGGTAACCCGATTCCTGCAGATCTCAATTATGTCTGCCTCAGTGACATTTTGGTGGAGGTCACCAACATACAAGGAATTCATTTTGAAGATTTTGGCTCTAATTTACACGTGTTGAGGCTAGTTCAAGAGCACAGAATGACAGGTGAATGAACAGGTGTCATGTGTTGAAACCCTCGGAACTCCCTCGTTTGTGATGTCATTGTGATGATGTGATGTCGAAGGAGTCAGGCGCAGGAGGGTAAATCACAGAATAACAGGCTTTATTCCGCAATTACAGAGTTACGCAGAAATGCGTCAAAACACTCTAGTGCGCAAAACAGGCGCACTGAAAAATACACGACACACAGGGAAATATCCCGGCGATACAAAATACACGGAGCTCCACCGAGCTTCACTATCCTCCACAATAAACAATCACACACAAAGACAAGGGGGCAGAGGGAACACTTATACAGGTACTGATGAGGGGATATGAACCAGGTGTGTGTAATAAACAAAACAAAACCAATGGAATGATGAGATGAGGAGCGACAGTGGCTAGAAGGCCGGTGACGACGAACGCCGAAGCCTGCTTGAACAAGGAGATGAGGCAACCTCGGAGGAAGTCGTGACAGTCATAAGTGATGTTGCATCAAATGCAATTCTGATGTGCCATCTTTCTTTTATTGCACCATAGTCATGTAGTTTACAGGATTTACATTGCAAACAGAAACATTTCAATTTGATTTAAATGAACAAACAAATAAATAAATGTACCTTAATCTTTATTTTATAACAGTTTGGGAAGTCAGAGAGAGAGAATGATAGAAATGTATGATTTGTTGTAACATGCTGAGGCATCACCCAAGTCCAGTAGCTACACGACTCTGGTTCTGTCACGGTTTCGGCCGAGGCTGCCTCTCTCCCTTGTTCGGGCAGGCTTCGGCGTTCGTCGTCTCCGGAATTCTAGCTGCCACCGCTATATGTTTCATGTTCGTTTGCTTTTGTCTGTTTGTTTCCACACCTGTTTCTGTTTTGACGTAATTAGTGTCCTATAAGTTTCTCGTTGTGTTTGTCTAGTGTTGTGTGTGATTGTTTCCGTCAGTGTTGTGTTTTGCTCGGTTGAGCGTATTTCTCCACTGTGCTGGAGCTTATTTGCACCTGTGTGTGCACCGTTACATTTTGTCGCACCTGTTAGTGCGCATTTACCTTTCGCCTTCGTGCGTGTTTTTGCTGTCGGGCTTAGTTGTCCTGTTGCCTGTGTTTGGCCAGTATTACAGCCTTTGGAACATTCAGTCTGCGTCCTGCGTTTGATTCCTACACTACACCTACAACACGCCCAGACAGAATCACACACCACCCAATGGAATCAGCAGGAGCCGAAGCAGCCCAGACGAGACTGGAAGCCCAGGTTCGGGACCAGCAAGAGCAGCTCCTGCAGATGGGGACCGCCCTGCAGGAGGTGATTACCACACTCCGAGGCTGGGGTTCGCCTCCACCGCCGCCCGCCCTGCCAGCACCATCGGCCAGCCCGCCCATTCCAGCGCCGGAACCTCGAGGAGTCCGACTATCTCTCCCGAGGGCCTACGACGGGACCGCGGCTGGGTGTCAGGGATTCCTGCTCCAGGTAGAGCTATACCTGGCCACAGTGCACCCGGCACCTTCAGGGCATGAGAGCGTGTCCGCCCTGATCTCCTGCCTGGCCGGAAAAGCGTTGGAGTGGGCCAACGCGGAGTGGAGGAAGATCGACGCCACGACGATTACGTACACCGAGTTCTCCCGCCGCTTCAGGGCGGTGTTTGACCATCCCCCGGAGGGGAAAGCGGCGGGGGAGCGTCTGGTCTTCCTCCGGCAGGGGAGGAGAAGTGCCCAGGAATTCGCGCTCGAATTCCGTACTCTAGCGGCAGATGCAGGGTGGAATGATCGGGCCCTCATCGATCTATACCGATGTAGCCTACGAGAGGACGTCCGTCGGGAGCTGGCTTGTAGGGACACCAGCCTCACTTTCGACCAGCTGGTTGATATGTCCATCAGGCTGGATACCCTGCTGGCTACCCGCGGACGTCCTGCGGAGGGTCCGTCCATTCCACCCTCCAGCGCCTCCGAGCCGTGTCCTATGGAGCTCGGGGGCGCTGGCGCTAGAGAGAGGAGGAGTCGGCAGGCTAGGGGGTCCATCCACTGCACCAACTGTGGTCGGGGAGGACACACCGCGGCTAGGTGCTGGGGATGGCCTCCTAGGGGAGATGACGACAGGTCCCGCACTGGGGATTCCCTCCAGGTGAGTAGGCGCCCCACTCACCCAGAGCTCACTGTTGCCCATTTTTGTATGCCTGTACGTTTTCCACAGGTAGCACCTCATTCCCAGCATAAGGCGCTGGTAGATTCAGGCGCGGCTGGGAATTTTATTGATAAAAAGTTTTGTTTAGCGTTAGGGATTCCCCTCATTCCTGTTGATGTTCCTTTTCCCGTTCACGCCCTAGATAGTCGTCCGTTGGGTACGGGCTTAATCAGGGAGGTCACGGCGCCACTTAGGATGTGTGCGCAGGGGGATCATCAGGAGATGATTCAGCTGTTCCTGATTGACTCTCCTGCGTATCCGGTGGTGCTGGGCATGCCCTGGTTGAGTACCCATAACCCAGCGATTTCGTGGCAGGAGAGGGCTCTGATGGAGTGGTCTGCTCAGTGTGTGGGTAGATGTTTGGGCGTTTCCGTAGGGGCTACCTCGGTGGAGAGTCCAAACCAGGTGCCCGCATTGCACGTTCCACCTGAGTATGGGGATTTGGCTATTGCGTTTAGTAAGGCGAGGGCGACGCGGTTGCCACCCCATAGGCAGGGGGATTGTGCGATAAACCTCCAGGCAGGAGCTGCGCTCCCACGGAGCCATGTGTATCCTCTGTCTCAGGAGGAGAAGAAAGCTATGGAGATTTACATAGACGAATCGCTGAGACAAGGATACATACGGCCGTCCACTTCCCCCGCGTCCTCGAGTTTCTTTTTCGTGAAGAAAAAGGATGGTGGTTTGCGTCCGTGCATCGATTACCGTGGTCTCAATCAGATTACGGTGAAGTATAGTTATCCACTCCCGCTGATTGCGACCATGACTGAGTCGTTGCATGGGGCGCGTTTCTTCACGAAATTAGATCTCAGGAGCGCGTACAACTTGGTGCGCATCAGGGAGGGTGATGAATGGAAAACAGCCTTTAGTACCACCTCGGGCCATTACGAGTATCTGGTCATGCCATACGGGTTGATGAACGCTCCATCAGTTTTCCAATCATTTGTGGATGAGATCTTCAGGGACATGCAGGGGCAGGGGGTGGTGGTGTACATTGATGACATTCTCGTGTACTCACCTACCCGTGTCGAGCATGTGGCCCTGGTGCGCAGGGTGTTGCGGAGGCTGGTGGAGCACGACCTGTATGTGAAGGCAGAGAAGTGTCTGTTTTTCCAGGAGTCGGTCTCCTTTTTGGGTTATCAGTTGTCTGCGTCAGGGGTGAAGATGGAGGTAGACCGGGTGTCGGCCGTGCGTAATTGGCAAACACCAACCACTGTGAAGGAGGTGCAGCAGTTTTTGGGGTTTGCAAATTACTACAGGAGGTTTATCCGGGGTTTTGGACAGGTGGCAGCTCCCATCACGTCTCTGTTGAAGGGGGGTCCGGTGCGTCTGCAGTGGTCGGCCGAGGCGGACAGGGCGTTTGGGAGGCTGAAGGACCTGTTTACCTCGGCCCCGGTGCTGGCGCATCCGGATCCCTCTTTGCCGTTCCAAGTAGAGGTGGACGCGTCGGAGGCCGGTTTAGGAGCCGTGCTTTCACAACGGTCTGGCGCGCCACCTAAACTCCGCCCCTGTGCTTTTTATTCTAAGAAGCTCAGTCCGGCGGAGCGGAACTATGACGTAGGGGACAGGGAGCTGTTAGCCGTGGTACAGGCTCTAAAGGTGTGGAGGCACTGGCTTGAGGGGGCTCAACACAACTTTCCTCATTTTGACGGACCACCGTAACCTGGAGTACATCCGGGCGGCGAGGAGGCTGAACCCTCGCCAGGCAAGATGGAGTATGTTCTTGACCAGGTTTACTTTTAAGATCACGTACATCCCTGGGTCACAGAATGGCAAGGCAGATGCGCTGTCTCGGCGGTATGACGCGGAGGAGAGGTCCGTGGAGCCCACTCCCATACTGCCTGAGTCGTGTCTGGTGGCACCGGTAGTGTGGGAGGTCGATGCTGAACTCGAGCGGGCGTTACGCACCGACCCTAGTCCACCACAGTGCCCGGAGGGTCGGAAGTACGTTCCGCTCGAGGTTCGGGATCGGTTGATCTATTGGGCTCACACGTCACCCTCCTCTGGACATCCGGGTATCGGCCGGACGGTGCACTGTCTTAGTGCCAAGTACTGGTGGCCCACGTTGGCAAGGGATGTGAGGGTTTATGTTTCCTCCTGCTCGGTGTGCGCCCAGTGTAAGGCGCCTAGACATCTACCTAGGGGTAAGTTGCTACCCCTGCCCGTTCCACAACGGCCATGGTCCCACCTCTCAGTGGACTTTATAACAGACCTTCCCCTCTCCCAAGGGAATACTACCATCCTGGTCGTTGTGGACCGGTTCTCTAAGGCCTGTCGTTTGCTCCCCATGCCGGGTCTTCCTACGGCCCTGCAAACTGCCGAGGCACTGTTTACCCATGTGTTCCGGCACTACGGGGTACCCGAGGACATTGTGGCTGATCGGGGTCCCCAATTCACCTCCAGAGTCTGGAGAGCGTTTATGGAGCGGTTGGGGGTCTCGGTGAGCCTCACCTCGGGTTACCACCCGGAGAGCAATGGGCAGGTGGAACGCGTAAACCAGGATGTGGGTAGGTTTCTCAGAACATACTGCCAGGACCGGCCGGAGGAGTGGTCAAGGTACGTTCCCTGGGCCGAGATGGCCCAGAATTCCCTACGCCATTCCTCCACTAACCTAACTCCATTTCAATGTGTGTTAGCTTACCAGCCGGTTCTGGCACCCTGGCAGCAGAGCCAGATCGAGGCTCCTGCGGTGGATGAGTGGGCGCGGCGCTCGGAGGAGACTTGGAACGCTGCACACGTCCACCTGCAGCGGGCCCTCCGACGTCAGAAGGCGAGCGCTGATCTCCACCGCAGTGAGGCACCGGTGTACGCACCTGGTGATCGAGTCTGGCTCTCTACCAGAAACCTGCCCCTCCGCCTGCCGTGTCGGAAACTGGGTCGGCGGTTTGTAGGGCCATTTAAAGTCCTGAGAAGGTTGAACGAGGTATGTTATAGATTACAGCTACCTGTGGAGTATAAGTGTATTAACCCCTCGTTCCATATGTCCCTTCTCAGGCCGGTGGTAGCGGGCCCACTCCAAGAAGATGAGATCTTGGAGACTCCTCCGCCCCCGTTGGACATCGAGGGGGCACCGGCGTACTCCGTGAGATCCATCTTGGATTCGAGACGTCGGATGGGGGGTCTCCAGTATCTAGTGGAGTGGGAGGGGTACGGTCCGGAGGAGCGGTGCTGGGTGCCGAGGAGAGACGTGTTGGACCCGTCGCTCCTGACGGAGTTCCATCGGAGGCATCCGACGCGCCCTGCGCCGCGTCCTCCTGGTCGTCCCCGAGGCCGGAGTCGGCGCACGTCTGGAGCCGCGCGTCAAGGGGGGGGGTACTGTCACGGTTTCGGCCGAGGCTGCCTCTCTCCCTTGTTCGGGCAGGCTTCGGCGTTCGTCGTCTCCGGAATTCTAGCTGCCACCGCTATATGTTTCATGTTCGTTTGCTTTTGTCTGTTTGTTTCCACACCTGTTTCTGTTTTGACGTAATTAGTGTCCTATAAGTTTCTCGTTGTGTTTGTCTAGTGTTGTGTGTGATTGTTTCCGTCAGTGTTGTGTTTTGCTCGGTTGAGCGTATTTCTCCACTGTGCTGGAGCTTATTTGCACCTGTGTGTGCACCGTTACATTTTGTCGCACCTGTTAGTGCGCATTTACCTTTCGCCTTCGTGCGTGTTTTTGCTGTCGGGCTTAGTTGTCCTGTTGCCTGTGTTGGGCCAGTATTACAGCCTTTGGAACATTCAGTCTGCGTCCTGCGTTTGATTCCTACACTACACCTACAACACGCCCTGACAGGTTCCCATAGTAGCCCTCTACATGATTGTCACCAGACTCTTCATCAACCACATTCCTCTGATCAAGCCATGTACTGGCCCTCTCCATCTTTGGAGGATGCATGAACTCAAAGACTTTACCTCTATTGGTTGACTTAACAATAGCTAGGCTACTCATGATGATGTATTGCTTTTTTTTTGCTTTTGAAGCGCTTTGAGATTGTTATGAAAAGCGCTATAGAAATGTATTATTATTATTACATCTATCCTTTGATGCTTGGCGTGTATGTGAATGGAACATTTTTGGGTGGTGGGAGATTGATTGACAGGTAAAGAAAAAAAGAAAGACAGGAAAGAAAGGTAAACTATACGACTTGTTCTTCTCGCGTCCACAGAGATGGCAGGACCTGAATGTGATCAGCAGTCTCCTCAAGTCCTTCTTTAGGAAACTCCCAGAACCCCTGTTCACTGATGGTGAGTCCAAACTTAATACCTGTGTGTGTGCGTGTGTGCATGCGTGAGTGTGTGACTGCTCTGATTTTGTTCTCTCTGTGTGTGTGTGTGTGTGTTTGAGTGTGTGCTAGTGTGTGTTTTACCCCTACTCACTACACCTTCTGTCTGCAGACAAGTATAATGACTTCATTGATGCCAACCGGCTGGAGGACTCAGGGAACAGGTTGAAGAGCATGAAGAAACTGGTATGTGGCTGACAATCAAATGAAAGTAGATACTTTAATTTGGGCTTACTGTATTTGACCCCTCTCTCTCGTTCTCGCTCCTTATCTGTGTCTCTCCATCACTCTATTCCTCTGTCTCTCTTTCTCCCTGCATCCATCCCTCTATTCCCCTCCTTTTGTATATTCATTACCCCCCCCTTTTGCTCTCTCTCACCCCCCCTTCTCTCTCTAAGATCCATGATCTTCCAGACTACTATCACCACACTCTAAGGTTCCTGGTCTGTCATCTGAAGACAGTGGCGGATCACGCCGACAAGAACAAGGTAAGAACTGCTCTCTGGTCTGCTCTTTCAATATGGTAATTTTTTCATATCTACAGTAGTTGACTTTACAATTATAACACTGTATATCTCCCTTTCCCCTCTTGTCATCTGTATATATATTTTTCTCGCTCACTCTTTTTATATCCTTACTATTCCACCTGTCTGCATCTCTTCCCTCTTCCTCAACATGTGTTACTTTCTCTCTCTTCCTCCTTCAATAATTTTGTCCCTGCCCTCCATTTCCCCCCACTATTCACTTTCCCTCATTACACCCTCTAGATGGAGCCCAGGAACCTGGCTCTAGTGTTTGGTCCCACTCTGGTGCGTACCTCGGAGGACAATATGACCGACATGGTCACCCACATGCCCGACCGCTACAAGATCATCGAGACGCTCATCCTGCACGTAAGAACCGCAGTCAATCACCATCTGATTACTCAGTGGTCAGCTAGTGATCGTCAGACCCAGCCATCATTCCAAGGGTCTCCTATTAGTGATTTGTACATTTTTACATTTACATTTTTAGTCATTTAGCAGACACTCTTATCCAGAGCAACTTAATGGAGCAATTAGGGTTAAGTGCCTTGCTCAAGGGAACATCCACAGATTTTTTACTTAGTCAGTTTGGGGATTCAAACCAGCGACTTTTCGGTTACTGGCCCATGCTCTTAACCACTAGGCTACCTGGCGCCCTATTGTTACAATGTTACATTGTAAAGACACTCCTTTTTCTTTCTCTATTTTTCAGCATGACTGGTTCTTCAGTGATGGAGAGGTGGATAAGGATGAAAAGGTATGTGAACAGGCATGAGATTCCATAATGCCAACCTAAAGAAAAGGGGGGGGGGGGGGCAAGTTAGTATGACAGGTCTGGATCATCAAGCCTGCCCTTGCCATCCCCAGCTTCTCTGCAGACTCTGTGGGTAGATACTCCTCAAACAACATGTAGCACCCACCCGGGTGAAGCCGGCATCTGATAGATTTTGCTAGGGCGCCAGTGGCTCATTACACATCAATTATTGGGATAATCCAACCTTGGAGTGAGAGATCAACTCAAAACTACAACAAGCCTCTGTGATGTCCAAGGCTATGCCACCTCCAGTTTCAAATAAAAACAAAAGCTAGCTAGCCTATGGGTTATCTTGACCAAACTAACTGACTTGTCGGTCTTATGACACCGTTGAATCGATATTTAAGTGATAATGCCAGAGAAGCTGAAGAAGCTGGTGTTTGGAGGATATATTGGCAAGGGTGTTGTTAGGCCCGAGACGAAGTCGAGGGGTGGCAAACCGTCCCAATATATCCTCCAAACACTGGCTTCGAGGGCATTATCACTTTTATACAACGGTTTACCAAAATATTAAAATAATGATTGATATATTTTCATTAAAAACATTATTTTGATGAATTTATTCATACTATTTCATCCTTCCACAAGATATAGTCCCGACACAAATCTAGGGTTGCTACCCAAGCCGGCTGGTTGTTCGTTCTATCGGTTCGGTTGCCGGACAACCTTCCCTTGCTTGCTAGCTAGCCAACTACGGCTAATTTACAGTAACATCAAAATAGCCAGAATAACAACAAAGTAGCTGCATTTGCATTTGTTTAAGCTGTTTTCTAGTGACATTTATTTGTATTAATCCATAACAATGAGCTAATGAGACGCAATTCCGCCTGGCATAGATAATGTGCTCACTTGTCTGGACACTGTTGTTCAGAGGAGCTAGCCAACAACAAAGCTAACGCAATCACTTTAAACTGAAGCTGGAAAGACTGCAAACTAGCTGCACTTCGTTTCGTTTTACCTTTTTACAATTGACATTTCTTTGTATATATCCATAAAAATGATGCCAGCTGATTCATGATTTCGACTGGCTGAGAAACGCTGCCTGCCTTTCTGTCTCGTCCCGACTCCCGACACATTCATTACTATGGGACAGCTGGAGATCAAATTTGAATATTGAAACAATGTTGCAAATGTCGAAGAGACAGACAGCAAGGTTTTTACAAATCTCTGCTGTTGAAAACTAAATGTTACTCTAAAAGATATGTGAGATAATGTCTAGATGCTTTTTATAGTGGAGATCAAGTTTATAAATTGCCTGGCAGGGTTGATGAGACAGTGGATTGCACAGTCAGATGGAACAGAGTACATAGGCATTTTAACGTCATAGATTTAGCCAGTGGTAACTTGTGGAATAGACACCAGCTGGAATGCGGTTTTAACCAATCAGCATTCAGGATTAGACCCACCCGTGGTATAAATAAATAATAAGTACTTACTAAGCTAACAAAATAAAAATAATATATACAGTACCAGTCAAAAGTTTGGACACACCTACTCATTCAAGGGTTTTCTTTATTTTTACTATTTTCTACATTGTAGAATAATAGTGAAGACATCAAAACTATGAAATAACACATATAGGATCATGTAGTAACCAAAAAAGTGTTAAACAAATCAAAACATATTTTATATTTGAGATTCTTCAAAGTAGCCACCCTTTGCCTTGATGACAGCTATGCACACTCTTGGCATTCTCTCAACCAGCTTCACCTGAAGGAGTTCCCACAAATGCTGAGCACCTGTTGGCTGCTTTTCCTTCACTCTGCGGTCCAACTCATCCCAAACCATCTCAATTGGGTTGAGGTCGGGTGATTGTGTAGGCCAGGTCATATGATGCAGCACTCCATCACTCTCCTTCTTGGTCAAATAGCCCTTACACAGCCTGGAGGTGTGTTGGGTCATTGTCCTGTTGAAAAACAAATGATAGTCCCACTAAGCGCAAACCAGATGGGATGGCGTATTGCTGCAGAATGCTGTGGTAGCCATGCTGGTTAATTGTGCCTTAAATTCTAAATAAATCACAGATAGTGTCACCAGCAAAGCACCCCCACACCATCACACCTCCTCCTCCATGCTTTACGGTGGGAACTACACATGCAGAGATCATCCGTTCACCTACTCTGCGTCTCACAAAGACAAGGCTGTTGGAACCAAAAATCTCAAATTTGGACTCATCAGACCAAAGGACAGATTTCCACCAATCTAATATCCATTGCTCATGTTTCTTGGCACAAGCAAGTCTCTTCTTCTTATTGGTGACCTTTAGTAGTGGTTTCTTTGCAGCAATTCGACCATGAAGGCCTGAACAGTTGATGTTGAGATGTGTCCGTTACGTGAACTCTGTGAAGCATTTTTTTGGGCTGCAATTTCTGAGGCTGGTAACTCTAATGAACTTATCCTCTGCAGCAGAGGTAACTGGGTCTTCCTTTCCAGTGGTGGTCCTCATGAGAGCCAGTTTCATCATAGCGTTTGATGGTTTTTGCGACTGCACTTGAAAAAACGTTTGAAGTTCTTTACATTTTCTGGATTGACTGACCATGTCTTAAAGTAATGATGGCCTGTCGTTTCTCTTTGCTTATTTGAGCTGTTCTTGCCATATTATGGACTTGGTCTTTTACCAAATAGGGCTATCTTCTGTATAACCCCCTACCTTGTCACAACACAACTGATTGGCTCAAACGCATTAAGAAGGAAATAAATTCCACAAATTAACTTTTGACAAGGCACGCCTGTGAATTGAAATGCATTCCAGGTGACTACCTCATGAAGCTGGTTGAGAGAATGCCAAGAGTGTGCAAAGCTGTCATCAATGAAAAGGGTGTGGCTACTTTGAAGAATCTCAAATATAAAATATATTTTTATTTGTTTAACACTTCTTTGGTTACTACATGATTCCATATGTGTTATTTCATAGTTTTGATGTCTTCACTATTATTCCACAATATAGTAAATAGTTAAAATAAAGAAAAACCCTTGAATGAGTAGTTGTGTCCAAACTTTTGACTGGTACTGTATAGAAACAAAATGCTGTCATAAAACATAAACAATAACATATTTACAACTCTCTGCCTAGGCGACTTCACGCCGCCATGGCAACCACGGAACTCTATCTGTCTGTCTCCTTGTGTCTGTCTGTTCATCCATCTGTCTGTCTATTGTTAAATCAGTCTTTATGTCTGTCGTTATGTCTGTGTATGTGGTCATGTCTTTCTTCCTGTGTTTTTCACTTGAATGTCTATGTTGCTGTGTGTCTGCAGGCCCCAGTGGATATTAAAAGGGATATGCAACCGGTCCCCAACATCGATCACCTGCTCTCCAACATCGGGAGAACAGGGCTGCCTGGAGGTGAGGCTTCAGGTGAGGGGACATGAAATCATAGAAATAGAATGAGAACAAACAGAAGTTGATGCTGGATAGTGAAAAATGCCAAAAAAGCTTTTTTGCTAAAATAATGTCCAGAAGTAATCAAGGCACTCTCATGTAGTAAAATGTTTTTGTCACTCTGATTGTGTCACCCTGATAAAGGCCTTTGTAGCCGCAACGTGTCAGTGCGTTTTTATTATTTTTTATTTGTTATTCTTGCTATGCATAAGCCATAAAAAATAAAGGCTTTAGAATGTTTTCGCTGCATGAGATTGCCTTGATTACTTCTGGAGAAATGTTGCACAAAGGCTTCTCAGCATTGCTCACTATCCAGCATGAACTTCTGTTTGTTCTATAGTATTTCATCCCATGATCAAAGAGCACCTCATAGTATACACCTATAACCAAAGAGCTCCTCTCCTGTGTGTCTATAGAAATATAATTATTTAATTCTGTACGTCTGTTTTTATGCATTTTTATGTTCTAAATGCTTTACATTGTATGGAAGGGGATTGCAGAACTCACCTCAACTCATCCACCACTAATGTGGAGCACCTAACTTCATTTGAGCATTATCTTTTATACAGTTCCCTTACTGTAACGTTCCCTATAACAACAATTAACTCTTGTTCCACACCATGCATTTCAATGAAGATGTCGTCTCTGGAATTCAGTGGACTTTGCTCATTTCTCTTGGCATTTGCAGTCTGTGGCTGTGCTTTACTATCCTACTATGTTTGGCTTGGTTTCAGCCTGTGTAGGCACACTGTATACTTACTGTGTTTCCCACTTTCTCTCTCTTTCTGGACCTTTCTGCCCTCATATCCTCCTAGCTGAGCCTGTGGATCAACCTCTTCGGTAGGAGCAGGACTCTACCTCCAACATAGTGTGTGTGTGTGTGTGTGTGCGCACTCATACGTGAGAGAGAGTGTGTTTGTCTGTGATATTCTGTTTGAGTAACCTTGGTTTGGAAGCCTATCCACATATCTATATCTCCATTTCTCTCTCTGGGAGTGATGTCATGAATATTGTGCTGGGATATCTAATGTGCTGTGACTGCCCAAGACCCCCATGCTACTTCACTTACATGACTCTAACCTTCATCTTATTCAGATTCCACCACCAGCGATTCACCTAAGGATAAGGTAAGCAATGTAACATGCATGACTCGGAACATAATTTGATATACAGTGTATTCGGAAAGTATTCAGACCCCTTGACTTTTCCAAATTTTGTTAGGTTACAGCCTTATTCTAAAATTGATTAAATTATTATTTTCCCTCATCAATCTACACACAATATCCCATAATGATAAAGCGAAAACAGGTTTGTAGATCGATTAAGAAAAACAAACAATTTAATACATTTTAGAATTAGGCTGTAACGTAACAAAATGTGGAAAAAGTCAAGGGGTCTGAATACTTTCCGAATGCTCTGTAATTGTCATCCAGACCTGGCTTGAATATGTGTTTTAGCCCAGGTTTGCTCTTTTGGGACTATTTCACTGGTTCCATTGTACAGAGCATAAGCCATTAAGCCATAGGAACCACTGAACCTCTGACTGATCCTGGATCTGTGTTTTAGTGCACATTGGCTTCCAAGAAGGACCTGAGTGCCAGGGACTTCCTCCCATTGTCAATCATCTCCGCCGTCACCCGGAAACGCAAGATACGCCCCATCTCCCGCCCCCTGAGCAGCAGCACCGACGAAGACTCTGAGCATGAGCCAATCAAAGCCAGCAACTATGGGGAAGGGGGAGGGGCCAAGGAAGAAGAGGAGGAGGGGGTTGGAGAAGGATGCGCCCCTAATGGAACTGAGAAAGTGGAGAAAAAAGGAGAAGAGGAGTGTAGGAAGAGGATAGAGGTAAAACAGCAGTCTGACAGAGGAAGAGAGGGAGAAGGGAAGAAAGAAGGGAGTGCATGGGCGAAAGATAAAGAAGGGGTGGCATTCCCCAAACCTCATCCTAACAGCTTCCTCTACACACACTACCAACCCCCCACCACCACCAGCCCTAGCCCCCCAGGAAAGCCCTCAGTCTCCCCACATTCGAAGCGCCCCAGCCTGGCCCGAGGACGCGCCGCTGTCCCCTCCTGGCTCTCCCCCTCCAGACTGCCCGGCCCTAGCCAATCTTATAACACCCAGAAAACACAACAGCCCCAGTTGGAAAAGCAGCCACTGCCAGTGCAGTATAGGAAGACAAGGGGAGGAAGGGCAAGGCCTCAGTCAATGAATTTGGATATGGTGCTGGGTAAGGGGGAGGGCGAGGGTGGAGTTGGGAGACGGGGAGATAGGGTGAAGGTGGTAAGAGCCACAACAGAAGTGCAACGTCACCGCAGCAGTTCAGTTGGTGTTCCTCAGGGGTGCATTGTCACATCCCTCAAAGTTCAAGGCAGTTCACGCCTAGCCTCAGCCCCAGCTCCAGTCTCTTCTCTCTCTCCCCCTCTCCCTTCCTCCCCCTTTTCCCCTGCATGGACAGATCAGAGCTCCCTTGGTTCTGCTGTTGTCATGCGGAGGTCGGCCCTGGAGCCTCGGGACAAGCGGAAAGCCTTGCGCCGCCACACGGTTGTGGTCTAACCTCGCTAAGGAAACCTCATAGTGTTCAGTTAGTGATTCATTGTAGACACCCACTCGAAAGTACTGCCCTTTACACACATATTACACAAACACACTCTCCATTGCGAGTATCGACAGGTTCAAAGCGTAATGCCAAACATAAGCAGTCTCAAGGGTCATAGTCTAAGGCCAGGATTCAATCCGATTGCGGGTTATAGGCATTGAAGCTTTTAAAGGCAATTTTCAATTGACCTGACATATGCAGCGTTTACTGTGAATGGGATCTCCAAGAACGCAGGAACATTGCCTTTGAAAGCCGCAATGCCTATACCCTGCAATCGTTTTGTATCCCGGCATAAGACTCCGCTGTCGACTCCGCCCCAACAGCACCTTGATCTTCATATTTTTCATACTATTATGCTGCCCCAGCTGTACAAGTTTGGTTCTCTTTCCAATTTTATGGTTCGGGATGGCCCAATAGTTCGAAAATGTTATTTAAGGACCAGTATAGGCGATGTGTTAGCCTCTTGTTAGCTTGTTAGCATCTTCTCCATAGGCTAGTACTGCCCTCCCTGCCCTTTACTAAGCTCTTCCAAAGCCCCACTGTGGATCAACAGGGAACTACATGGATCCTTCAGGGCAAAATACATGCATTGGACTAAGTTTCACTTCTCTGGAACTCTAAACCCATGTGGGCCACGGTGCCAAACCTTCCTTGGACAATTGAATATGATAACGCATGTTCCATATATGGGGGATTTTACATATCAGACACATATGCAAAGCCTACGTGTTTTAACACAAGCCTATTGTATCTGCCTGTGCATGTGGAGGACCCAGACCTCTCTTCAGTCCTCCATTGCAGGAAAAAGGCGTCTGTGGCAGCTATTTGAAGTCATGCCAAACTCATTTTGACGATTGGGGCCATTCAATCATATCGATACTGGGAAGCCAAGAAAGGCAGGATAAAAAGAGTCGAGAAGCACTTACACACAGATAATCACACATGCCAAGAGTTGCTCCGGTTGTTATCAGTATTACAGAGACAGCATTGTCATTTTGAGCAGTTGATGAAGTGGTGGTTTGGAGATACCTCGGTCCTCCTCCGAAAAATGTCTCCCATGATCTAAAAAACACTGGAGTCTTAACTGTTTTAAGGTTTTCTTTTTGCATTTTGATATTTTTCCTGTTTCTTCTTTCCTGTACTTATCATTATGAACCATAGTTATAAGCCAGTTTTTGAAAACCAACGTGGAGATGAAAATTAACCAAACTGCTCTGCCAACCAATGTACTCCTAGCTACCCACTCCATGGTCTCTTCCATAGTTATATGACTCAATCTGTCCCTGTCTGTCTGTGTGTGCCCATGTGCATGTACTGTATGTATGTGGGTGATTGTGCGTGGACCAATTTTGTAACAGTTGTACAAAGCCTTGTTAAGTTAACCTGTGTATATATTATACATAATATATTAAATTATTTGTTTTGAAATTTGCAGGTGACGTTATTCATTCTTTGGTCAAAGACTGGCATCTTCCATTAGATATAAAGAGATTCCGTCTCTCACAGTTGAAGTGTACCTATGATAAAAATTACAGACCTCTACATGCTTTGTAAGTAGGAAAACCTGCAAAATCGGCAGTGTATCAAATACTTGTTCTCCCCACTGTGTGTGTATATATATATATATATATACATACATACATACATACATACATACATACATACATACATACATACATACATACATACATACATACATACATACATACATACATACATACATACATACATACATACATACATACATATACACACACACACTACCTTCAAAAGAAAAAGCCATATCTCAGACTGGCCAATAAAAAAAGATTAAGATGGGCTGTCAGAGATATGGCTTTTTCTTTGCAACTCTGCCTAGAAGGTCAGCATCCCGGAGTCGCCTCTTCACTGTTGACGTTGAGACTGGTGTTTTGCAGGTACTATTTAATGAAGCTGCCAGTTGAGGACCTGTGAGGCATCTGTTTCTCAAACTAGACACTAATGTATTTGTCCTCTTGCTCAGTTGTGCACCGGGGCCTCCCACTCCTCTTTCTATTCTGGTTAGAGCCAGTTTGCGCTGTTCTGTGAAGGGAGTAGTACACAGCGTTGTACGAGATCTTTAGTTTCTTGGCAATTTCTCGCATGGAATAGCCTTCATTTCTCAGAACAAGAATAGACTGACGAGTTTCAGAAGAAAGTTCTTTGTTTCTGGCCATTTTGAGCCTGTAATCGAACTCACAATTGCTGATGCTCCAGATCCTCAACTAGTCTCAAGAAGGCCCGTTTAATTGCTTCTTTAATCAGCATAACAGTTTTCAGCTGTGCTAACATAATTGCAAAAGGGTTTTCTAATGATCAATTAGCCTTTTAAAATGATAAACTTGGATTAGCACAACGTGCCATTGGAACACAGGACTGATGGTCGCTGATAATGGGCCTCTGTACGCCTATGTAGATATTCCATAAAAAATTAGCCGATTCCAGCTACAATAGCCGTTTACAACATTAACTATGTCTACACTGTATTTCTGATCAATTTGATGTTATTTTAATGGACAAACATTTTTTCTTTCGAAAACAAGGACATTTCTAAGTGACCCCAAACTTTGGAACGGTAGTGTATATATATATATTTTTCACAGACAGTGAGGCTGTAAATCTTAATCTACCCTCACAACTGTACGAATTTTCAGACCATGTTCACATTTTGAAGTCAATCACTACACCGAGGCTGTTCATATAACAATAGCTTGAAAAAGTATTATCTTTCAACCATTGGTGACTAAGTAGAATAATTTCTCCTTACATATCAACTGAACATGGTCTCTCGTGTGCATTCTGAACCAATTGCGACTTCCACAATAACAACAGCCAGTGCACTCGTATCCAATTCTGTGCCCCACTGAAATCATTGGATCAAATATAATCTGGGAAAAGTACTTATTCAACCCGATTATTTATTTGAAAATAATTCTGTGATTAAGATTAAATGGCTATAAATTAAATCATGATTTATTAGTGTTAGTGAGGGGACAAGGAACACCAAAGTGGATCAGTGTCCCGTATTCAAAAAGAGTCTCACAGTAGCAGTGTCTGATCTTGAATCAGGTACCCCCTTTCCATGTTATCTTTTCCATTATGATCTAAAAGGCAAACTGATCCAATTCCAGTACTCTTTGTGGATACGGGACCAGGTCCTTCAACCTGAAGGTTAAAAGAACAGCACGTGATACATTTGCCATTTAAACATGTTCAGGTTTCTCCCAGCTTCTTGAGCGATGTCCTCCAATAATGTCCTATAGGACTGTGCCAACAACTTCTTCTAGTGGATTCATGTGGAAATACACAACCTCCATTGTCCCATATATGTTTGTGCTGTCTCCTATGGTCATTGTCACACCAATGACCATAGGAGTTTGCAAGACACCAAAAACAGATTTGCTTACGACCTCCATTGTCCCATAGAGTCCTATTGAAATAAATCAGAAATACTTCTTCCTCCAATGGATTCCTAAGGGGGAGATATGGGACTACTTTGTGGTCCGTTAGCTTCAAGTAGAGATACGGGCCTTCTTTTGGCCCCTCCGCAGTAGAAACACTAGACCCTGAGCCACCAGGGGCCACAGCAGCAGAAGCAGCATCGCCCGTCCTGATACTTCAGGGAACGGCCACCAACTCTCCTCCTGAGAAGAACATATAGGACATTTAGGGTGACAAACCTTAAAACGTACAATATTCTAACAGGAATGAATTTATAACTGCTGTAGAGGATGTGCAGGCTTTTGTTCCAGCCAAGCACTAACATGCCCAATCCCACTTATGACTGTCTTGATTATTTGAACCAAGTGTGTTAGTGCTGGGACTGGGAAAAAACCCTGCACACCCTTTACAGTAGCTCTCTGACCTGAGTTTGTGACCACGCTACTGGAACTGTACAAACCACAATGAGCATCTTGCCAAAAGCTAATAAGACAGATAAATAGATGCACATTGCATTTTCGGACACCTCCACACCCTTACCTCTGACTGGGCGGCTGAGGCAGCACACCGAAGACATGGTCTCCAGTCTGAATTCTGGGCCTGGTGATGGGATACATTGGTGAGTAGAGAAGAGAAAATACTCCAATACTTTTAAATATATGAAGGTATTCAACATACAGTATGTATTTGACTAAGGTCTAGAACCTATAAGAGAGAAAATGCCAAGGTGGCCGCCAGTAGATGCTTTCCCGCTCAACTTCACCGCTCATTACAGAAAGATACACCCATAGAGATGTACTAGAGAGCTCATTTCTTTCTAATGGCCTCTTGTGACAGCATGGGCAGAGCCATTGAGGGTATAAAAATAAATATAATAACTAACACCCTACCGTTGTACTTGCCTTTCTTGCACTAGTCTTCTCTTACTAGCATTGACTTTGCTAATTTTTTAGGAAAAGTTTTTACAATAGCTAGGTTTCCATCCAATTGGCGGAAGATTTATGTAAATATTATAAAATCCGCATAAATAAAATATGCACATTTTCCCACTAGTGGTTTGTTTCCACCTAACTGACTTGTTGCAGATAAAAATCAGTGCGTGATGACGTAGTGCACACAAAAATTACTTTTTTGCTTAAATTCATTAGTCGAATAAAAATCTCTAAATCAATTTGTTTCCATCGCATTTTCAACTCTACCGAGTTTTGTCACAAAAACTGTTGCGTTAAATAGCAAATGTGCCTACCCTAGTCTTGGCACGTGCGCTCCAGCCAACAGCTGGCAGATACAGTGCGGGTAGGCTGTGCAGATAGGCTAGTCTACATGATGAGATTATTATGGATAAGAGCGAGAATATTTTTTATTTGTCAAATGGCAGTCAAGTATCGATCATCATGTCACCAGAATAAGACCCTCAATATTTATTGGAATCGAGCATCATGCTCATTACCGTGCACTTTCACCACACTGTGAAGTTCATCATAACTTTTTTCATCTGTAGCCTAATAAACTGCATGCTTTCCCGAGTCGTAGTGGGAGGACCACACACCATATCATTGTGTGACTCCAAGTTTACTTCAGTATGATGGTTATTATATCAATATTAGCGCATAAAAGCAGTTTCTACCGCCATTTCTCGCATAATACATTTTTACAGCCACAAAATAATCCCACCATAACGAACAAACAAATTATCTGTCGGCATTTATAAAATTGTACCGAAACAGCTGTCATGATTTTTTTTATACGGTATGACTTTACTCATATAAAAACTGTGGATGAAAACTTGGTTAGTAACTGTGATATGTGGTTGTCTTACCTAGCTACCTTAAAAGGGGAATGGAAACATTTTACAAGGTAGGTCAAATAAAACAATCAATACAAATCCTATGTGACCTGCATGTTTGTCATATACAAATTTCTACTTTGAATATTTTGATCAAATGCTAATTTCGGACTGCGTTCCGCCATTACAATTGCCATGGTAACGACGCTAGCGGCATCGGTTGGATAGAACAATTTGGAACGTTGATTTCTGATTGCTTTTACTGTAGGGAGTGACAGCTCTCTCATCTCAATATTAAGCAAAATTACTATGAAATGCAAGATATATTTGCATTGAACTCTTGATGTCCAATGTGCAGTATAGCTTGTTCAAGTCTTGTTAAAATTATAAATAAACAAAGTCACTTTTATTATCGAAGTACAGTAGCTACAGTATGAGAAGTAGCTAGTTACTAACATCTTGCCTGTGGATGGAGGGACTCCATATCTTGGAGAGGAGGCAGCGAACGCGCCTGTGAGCAAATTGGTCCCAATAAAACATCTCTATTTTTGCATTTAAGCCTCAGTTTTGGATGTATTCCCCTTTTTCAACAGTGTGCAGGTCTCCATCTCTTCAAGCATATTGGTGGCCACATTTATAGGACAACTTGGGAGAATGATGATCCACGACAGGCAGCGCATTCTCAGTATATCAGGAGAAGCCCATATTTCCGACGGCTAACGCTAATACATCCTGACAAAATACACCATATGACTAGCCTGCGAATGTGCCTATCTGCACCTTGTAAATTGTAAAGAGTAGCCTAGACCCATAGCCGATGCGAAGGGTTGCCTATACAGGCCAGGCCTATAGGCTATGGGTAGATGCATTAGGCTATATTTTGGAACAAACATGCATTCAAAACGCAGAGCTTTTAAGCGGTTATTCAAATAGTCTACAGTAAGTTTACAGTTTTGTACTCTCTGGAAAACAATGCTAACATTCTTCATTGAATTGTGTTGTAGGTCTAGTGTAGGATAATTTTATTTCCCCTAAAAAACGTAGGCTAATGGGAAGATTTTTGCATGCCGGCGAAACCCACAGTGCACCCGTCATCTCAAATGACAAATTCGCTGCAGTAGGTCCAGCTAGCCTGTATACTGTTTTAAAAAGACCTAGCAAAATATCAGAAATAACATTGTCTGTGTAGGATAATGCAAAGGCATAATATCAAATAAATTGCTGGGGAGAGTTTGAAGGGGGGGATAGTATGAAGGTGAGAGCAGTACGGCTAGTGCGATATAGTGTGATGAAGATGAAATTGACAACCACCTGGAAAATAGAAATGACACGCAATAATAATATTTAGCCAACAAATGAAGGTTAAGAATGAGCTTCTAACTACACTGAGCATTTCTCTTTTGCCAAGATAATCCATCAACCTGACAGGTGTGGCATATCAAGAAGCTGATTAAACAGCAATATCATTACACAGTAGTACCTTGTCTGTTGGGGACAATAAAAGGCTACTCTAAATTGTGCAGTTTTGTCACAGAACACAATGCCACAGATGTCTCAAGTTTTGAGGGAGTGTGCAATTGGCATGCTGACTGCAGGAATGTCCACCAGAGCTGTTGCCAGAGAATAACATTTACATTTCTCTACAATAAGCTGCCTCCAACGTCGTTTTAGAGAATTTGGCAGTACATCCAACCGGCCTCACATCCGCAGACCACGTGTATGGCGTTGTGTGGGTGAGCGGTTTGCTGTTGTCAACGTTGTGAACAGAGTGCCCCATGGTGGCGGTGGGGTTATGGTATGGGCAAGCACAAGCTACGGACACAATTGCATTTTATCTATGCCATTTTTTATGCACAGAGATACCGTGTACGACAGCGTGTTCCAGTTCCCGCCAATATCCAGAAACTTCGCACAGCCATTGAAGAGGAGTGGGAAAACATTCCACAGGCCACAATAAACAGCCTGATCAACTATATGCGAAGGAGATGTGTTGCGCTGCATGAGGCAAATGGTGGTCCTAAAAAGATACTGACTGGTTTTCTGATACACGCCCCTACTTTTTTTCTTAAGGTATCTGTGACCAACAGATGCATATCTGTATTCTCAGTCATGTGAAATCCATAGATTAGGGCCTAATGAATTCATTTCAATTGACTGATTTCCTTATATGAACTGTAACTCAGTAAAACCTTTGAAATTGTTGCATGATGCGTTTATATTTTTGTTCAGTATAGGTACGTGATCTCTAGTCTTCACTGTTGTCCTGCGCAATTACGCACCTCCACTTGCCTTTTAGCTCATCCTCTACTCTTGTGAAGTCCCAGGAAAAGCTAGAGTCACGCCCTGACCTGGAGAGAGACTGTTATTCTCTAGGTAGTTTGGTCAGGGTGTGAAACTCTATGTTTTGTATTTCTATGTTTGGACAGGTGTGGTTCCCAATCAGAGGCAGCTGTCGCTCGTTGTCTCTGATTGGGGATCATACTTTAGGCAGCCAGTTTTCCTGCCTGGGTTGTGGGATCTTGTTTGTGTTTCGGTGTGTTTGGCTTGTTTGTGTATAGCCTTCCGACGTCACGTTTCGTTGCCTTTTGTTGTTTTGTCAGTGTTTATTGTTTTAATAAACATGTATGCATTCCACGCTGCGCCTTGGTCTAATCTGTCTCTCAACGATCGTGACAGCTAGGCTATAGTTGCGCTCTAATATATTGGCACCCTTGCACTATTCACTATTGCTTCTAAAATAATAAGAATATTTTTGGGGGTGTTCACACGTGTTTTTGTTTGATTTAGAAATGCACAGGACCAAGAAAAAAGACATCTAAATTATTAGCCAGTTTAGGTCCATTAAGAAGTACATTGTATTAAACCTCTATAGTTAAAATGATTTCTTTCATGAATCTTTATGCCTTACTATGAATAATAATTGCAAGAAATTGTGAATTTAGGTGAGTGTTTCGATTCCTCTTTAAGACGAATGCACTAACTGTAAGTCACCCTGGATAAGAGCGTCTGCTAAATGACTACAATTTTTAATCTCCATGCTCTCTATCCAACTCTATGGATACATCAAATCCTACCTACAGTTGAAGTCGGAAGTTTACATACACTTAGGTTGGAGTCATTAAAACTCGTTTTTCAACCACTCCACAAATTTCTTGTTAACAAACTATAGTTTTGGCAAGTTGGTTAGGACATCTACTTTGTGCATGACACAAGTAATTTTTCCAACAATTGTTTACAGACAGATTATTTCACTTATAATTCACTGTATCACAATTCCAGTGGGTCAGAAGTTTACATACACTAAGTTGACTGTGCCTTTAAACAGCTTGGAAAATTCCAGAAAATGATGTCATGGCTTTAGAAGCTTCTGATAGGCTAATTGACATCATTTGAGTCAATTGGAGGTGTACCTGTGGATGTATTTCAAGGCCTACCTTCAAACTCAGTGCCTCTTTGCTTGACATCATGGGAAAATCAAAATAAATCAGCCAAGACCTCAGAAAAACAATTGTAGACCTCCACAAGTCTGCTTCATCCTTGGGAGCAATTTCCAAATGCTTGAAGGTACCGCGTTCATCTGTACAAACAATAGTATGCAGTCATGGGCAGCGCACAATTGGCCCAGTGTCGTCCAGGGTAGGGGAGGGAATGGCCGGCAGGGATGTAGCTCAGTTGATAGAGCATGGCGTTTGCAATGCCAGGGTTGTGGGTTTGATTCCCACGGGGGGCCAGTATAAAAAAAAAAAATGTATTCACTAACTGTAAGTCGCTCTGGATAAGAGCGTCTGCTAAATGACTAAAATGTAAATGTAAGTATAAACACCATGGGACCACGCAGCCGTCATACCGCTCAGGAAGGAGACGCGTTCTGTCTCCTAGAGATGAACGTACTTTGGTCCTTATGAAGATGCTGGAGGAAGCAGGTACAAATGTATCTATATCCACAGTAAAACGAGTCCTATATTGACATAACCTGAAAGGCCGCTCAGCAAGGAAGAAGCCACTGCTCCAAAACAGCCAGACTACGGTTTGCAACTGCACATGGGGACAAAGATCGTACTTTTTGGAGAAATGTCCTCTGGTCTGATGAAACAAAAATAGAACTGTTTGGCCATAATGACCATCGTTATGTTTGGAGGAAAAATGGGGGACGCTTGCAAGCTGAAGAACACCATCCCAACCGTGAAGCATGGGGGTGGCAGCATCATGCTGTGGGGGTGCTTTGCTGCAGGAGGGACTGGTGCACTTCACAAAATAGATGGCATCATGAGGAAGGAAAATTATGTGGATATATTGAAGCAACATCAAGACATCAGTCAGGAAGTTAAAGCTTGGGTCTTCCAAATGGACAATGACCCTAAGCATACTTCCAAAGTTGTGGCAAAATGGCTTAAGGACAACAAAGTCAAGGTATTGGAGTGGCCATCACAAAGCCCTGACCTCAATCCTATAGAAAATGTGTGGGCAGAACTGAAAAAGCATGTGCGAGCAAGGAGGCCTACAAACCTGACTCAGTTACACCAGCTCTGTCAGGAGGAATGGGCCAAAATTCACCCAACTTATTGTTGGAAGCTTGTGGAAGGCTACCCAAAACGTTTGACCCAAGTTAAACAATTTAAAGGCAATGCTACCAAATACTAATTGAGTGTATGTAAACTTCTGACCCACTGGGAATGTGATGAAATAAATAAAAGCTTAAATAAATCATTCTCTCTACTATTATTCTGACATTTTACATTCTTAAAATATAGTGGTGATCCTAACTGACCTAAAACAGGGAATTTTTACTAGGATTAAATGTCAGGAATTGTGAAAAACTGAGTTTACATTTATTTGGCTAAGGTGTATGTAAACTTCCGACTTCAACTGTACCTGTGTTGCGGCTAGTCTCTCCACTGCCTCCAGTCTCTCCATGACGCTCCGCATGTCCTCCCTGAGCCTCCGTAGGGCCAGCAGGATCTGCTGCTGCACTTGGATGTCCTGCAGCCTCTCAGCCCCTCCCTCTGAGCCGTCTCCTCCCCCTCGGCCAGCCCCTCCCCCTGCCCCCAGGGCCTCTCTCCCCGCCCTCCTGGGGCTGCCCTGGGGAACACCACCTAGGCAGGGAGACACGTAGGTTAGATGTGTATGTGTAATTGGCATATAGACCACATGCACGTCACACACACAACAGGAATACTTGCAAACACACACACACACACGAGTGGCGCAGCGGTCTAAGGCACTGCATCTCAGTCCTTGAGGCGTCATTACAGACCCCCTGGTTCGATTCCAGGCTGTATCACAACCGGCCGTGATTGGGAGTCCCATAGGGCGGCGCACAATTGGCCCAGCGTCGTCCGGGTTTGGCCGGTGTAGGCCGTCATTGTAAATAAGAATTTGTTCTTAACTGACTTGCCTAGTTAAATAAATTCACACTCTCTGGACACAATTACATAGAATTCTATTTTACATTTTAGTCATTTAGCAGACACTCTTATCCAGAGCGACCTACAGTTAGTGAGTGCATACATTTTCATACTGGCCCCCTGTGAGAATCGAACCCACAACCCTCGCGTTGCAAGCGTCATGCTCTACCAACTGAGCTACACTCTTTCCTCCCCTTCATCTGCACTGATTGAAAGATACTTGAAAAATGAAAACAATATGGTGGATACTCACTATTAAGCTGGCTTTCACCTGTTCAGCTCTTTTTTAGATCAGTGCAATGAAGGAGAGAAGGCAACGAGAGGACAGATATTTTAGGAAAATGAGAGAAAGAGCCTTTAACTCACGTTCTCTCCATCCGTGGTCCCTCATCCCGTCTCTTCCTGCATCCCGACTCCTCCTCATGGGCGGTCCCCCTCCATCCCCCGCCCCCTCTCCACCTTGCCCTGCCCCCACCTGCGTTGCCTGGCAGACCGTCTCTGTGTGATTGGCTTGGACTGAGGAGGGCTCTGAGTAAGCATAGCCGTTATGGAGGCCGTTTGACTTTGACTTGGGGACTAAAACAACCTGTGTATAAACAAACACACACACACACACACACACAGAATACAGTCCTTTATTTGGATCCACTTACAAAGGACCCAGAGAACAACAACTTAGATTAAACTCTCATTCTTGTAAAGTCCCATTATTTCAGGCCCTACAGTACCTTAATATTGTCCAGCTTTTCCACAGAGTCCACAGAGTCAACGAAGATCTCACTCTCTGAGTCGCTGGTCAACAACAACACCTCAGACGACCCCATGGCCTCAGACGGAACAAGCTCAGGAACAAGCTCTGGAAAGAGGAAGCCTTGTACATTTGGCCATGTGTAAACATGAGACATATCAACAGTATAGTTAGGAGAAAGTCAGTTGTGTTGAATAGAAAATGCATAAAGTTAGCTACAAGTGGGAAAATATCCATTAGTCTATCCATCCGTCCATCCATATGGTATGGGTTCTATGGAGTGACAGTATTTTCTTGCCTGGGTGTGCACATATTGTAGCTACCCTCCAGCTTGGCAGGATTTAGTCTCGTGAAACAGAGAGAGGTGATCATGACTCTTACCCTGAGGTTCACTGGTGGAAGTGACTGGTTGTTGTTGTGTCTGACTGGGCACCTCTTCTGGGACAGGCACCTTCTCTGCGAGGGCCACCTTTTCCAGGGTAGGTACCTCCTCTGTGACGGGTTCTACTCCTGGGACAGGCACCTGCTCCAGGGCAGGCTCTTCTTCTAGTGCAGGGTCCTTATCTGGGACAGGTTCTTCTTGGGTCTCCCTCTCTTGTTCAACTTCCACTGGACTGGCTGCCTTGTCAATGCCCTTAACGTCTACACACGCACGCACACACACGTTAAGACACACACACATCCGCACCAATAGTGCACATAAACACGCACACGGACACACACCCACACTAATTCAAAGTCCATCCGAGCATTTTGTAACCTTATATGACTGATGCTCAGATAACATGCAGAGAATGTTTCTTTCAACACCAACAATTCAGATGGTGGTCTAAAGACCAGTAGTCCACTGACCTTCTCTTAGGTCCAGCAGAGTATCTGGTGGCCGGGGCATGTCGTGGATGACCACGTAGAGGGGCTCAAAGTGGTGGAACAGTGATGCAGTCTTCTCATTGATGGGCATTGTGTCAATAACCTACACAGGAGACATTTGCTGTTTCAATAGTGGCTCTTTATGTGAAAGCATGTATCCGCTATAGGATAACAATTCATTGTTATATGATGCACAGTATGCAGGAGGAATTGATTAACTAAACAACAGGGTCAGTATTCACATCTCAGGTCTGGCAGGAGTGCTCAACTAGGATACATGTTCTCTTTTAGATAGATCATAATGAATAAAATTACATTGACAGGGGGGGACATGATCCTAGATCAACAAACCTACTTTGAGATGCTTTGTGATTATGGCCCAAGGCTTTTATTCCCATCCCCACAAGAAGATACAGGGTGGTGGTGCTATGCATGTTTATATTCAAAAGTAGACTCACCAATGCACGCGGTAAACAGCAATATCGTGCCGATTTCTGCAACAACTAAGAGTGTTGAAGCGCGGGGCTAAACTTCTTCGCAGTTTTGGTCCCCTAGCTACAATGTTGTAGCAGCGTGAAGCGCACCTATGCACATGCGCAGATACTCTGTGCGACAGTGTGAGATCACAGTCTTGCATTGCTCATCTCAATATCTGCGGTGTTGCCCGTGGCAACGTCAAAACGCTGTCTACCTTTAGTCTAAACACATACAATATGATGTATGCTATAGTGTTTCTCAACTTCTGGCCAACGGACCAACACTGGCCCTGGTATGTTGCTGACAAGTCCCTGAGACGGTTAGCGGGCACTGATTTAGACAGTTCTAGAGCGCTACTTTTAATGTTAGCTGTTCCTGGTATAAAAAAGGTAGAGAAGCACATATGTTTATTTGGATGTGCATGAAGGAGTAGGACGACTCAGCAGTACCTCTTGTGCCACTTTCTTCATCTCATCAACGTAGGCCGCCATGGCACTCTCACTGCTCATCTCCCCTAGTCGGCTCCAGGCATCCCTATGGAGACAGAGCGACACCAAAACAGTGTTCTCTAGCTAACATCTCTCTCTATCAGCTTCGTATCACTGTTAGTATATCATTTGAAAAAAGTGCACCACCCAATGGTCTGCGAGTGAGGTGTTAGTTTGGTAAGGAACAATCACCCTGTTAGAGGGACAATAACTCCATGCTGTACAACAGCAGCACACATGCCCTTGAGAAGTAACAGTGAATAGTAAGTGATTGTGTCAGCTGTCAGCTGTTGTAGTGCCAGTCCAGACGTTTATGAGCCGAAACCACGCCCGGTGTGGAGGCGCCTGCCAACTGAAACACTCTTACCTGGCTCAACTAGTTTGGCTCGAGGTAGAATTTGTCCCTAACCACAGATCTTGGATCAGATTACACTCCTACATTATTACCTACTAAATATGTACATTCACCCGCACAGACACACGTACAGCCTCTCATATCCACTTGAGCACAGGCGCACAGACACACACTCACCATTTATAGCGACCTACTGGGTCCCAGAAGCCTGGTCGGGGCACTGTGCAGGGTCCGCACACCGCCTGCTTGTACAGGCAGTAGAACCGCAGCATCACTTCATAGGAGGGCCGGTAGGAACCTGCAAGAGTTATTCAGTTGTTATTCAGTGTCTATTACACGTTTGTTTGACCTACATGTTGATAAGCCTTGTGTAAAAGAGTAGCAGTAGCTGATCAATAAAATCACTGGTTGGGCAATCAACATGGAATCTAATAGGCCTAATGAGCTTTCAGCTAAGCACTCAATGGAGCTTTGTCTACAAAACATCACAACTAATTATATGCCTATACACTGCCAATTCTGTTATATGATATCACAGCTATTAAATAGATTTAGGATACGTCCCTGTAGTCGCCCACCATTTTTGGGAAGGTTTTGAATGACGTCGACCGCGGCCTGGAAGCGTTTCTGGTGGTCCACCGACTCTGCCATAACTGGAACTGGCATTGCAAACTGCCGTCTCTATGATGGCACAGCCCCGTGGCATTCAACCGGGGCAGCGACGAGGGACTGCTACGATGTCCTTCGCCAACTCAAACAACCCACAAGGACGAATCGATAGGACTGAAACGAGCTGGAAAAGCACATAATTCGATGATATAACGAATGATATAGTAAGTTAGCAAGCCTGCTGCTGGTTCAAACATAATAACAAACAACACTGATATATATTGAGTAGCCAACAAGATTGAGTACCGACCGGGTAGCCTACTTGCCTTTTCTAGTTGGTATCTCCGAATCTCTCCTCAATTCACTTGTAGTCGCACCGTCTTTTTGTCATGACAGCAGCACCGAACACGCTTGTAAAAACGTTGTTGACAGATATGAGATGGCAGGTTTTCAAGAACATTCAAAACGCCAAAATACAGATATGCAACGCTACTGTTGCTGATTAGAAGTGTATTATTTGAGTTAAACGAATGAATAAAGTTGTTTATCGAGACCTTCAATATACTTTACTTCGTACAGTTGCAGAGTGGTCTTCCGTGTTGGGTCACATGACAACATGTGGCTTCGAACTCTCCAAAGTGATTCGCGCGATGTGCATGTGGCTGTAAAATAATAAATGCATTTCTTGATTGGGTGTGCAATGTTAATTATTTTAATGCACAGTGCACACTATATAAGCAAATACAATAATACGTTGCAGCACCATTTATAGTCAATTTTAGCAAGCTATTGTTCTTTTACAGTGTATAGGAGGGCTATAGTCCTATAAAAGGATTGGTCAGAAAACTGTAAATCTAGGTAGCCCTATATAAATAAGCACATATAGGTGGCACAAACCAGTGCTTGTATTGCCAAACAATCACATGCTATATATATAAAAAAAAATATTTAATGTATCCACCACTGCAATTTCTATCTAGCCAGGGCTAGGGGGCAATATTTTCCCAGGAGTAGGCCTATCCATTCTAACCTATACTGAACAAAATTATAAACGCAACATGTAAAGTGTTGGTCCCATGTTTCATGAGATGAAACAAAAGATCCCAGAAATGTTCCATATGCACAAAAAGCTTATTTCTCTCAAATGTTGTGCACATATTTGTTGCCATCCCTGTTTGTGAGCATTTCTAATTTCCCAAGATAATACATCCACCTGACAGGTGTGGCATATCAAGAAGCTGATTAAACAACATGATCATTACACAGGTGCACCTTGTGCTGTGGACAATAAAAGGCCACTCTAAAATGTGCAGGTTTGTCACACAAACAATTCCACAGATGTCTCAAGTTTTGAGGGAGCGTGCAGTTGGCATGCTGCCTGCAGGAATGTCCACCAGAGCTGTTGCCAGATAATTTAATGTTAATTTATCTACCATAAGCTGCCTCCAACGTCGTTTTGGAGCATTTGGCAGTACGTCCAACCGGCCTCACAACTGCAGACCACGTGTAACCACGCCAGCCCAGGGCTTTATCATCTGGCTTCTTCACCTTCGGGATCATCTGAGACCAGCCACCCAGACAGCTGATGAAACTGAGAAGTATTTATGTCTGTAATAAAGCCCTTTTGTGGGGAAAAACTCATTCTGATTGGCTGGGCCTGGCTTCCCAGTGGGTGGGCCTGGCTCCCAAGTGGGTGGGCCCATGCCCTCCCAGGACCACCCATGGCTGCGCCCCTTCCCAGTCATGTGAAATCCATAGATTAGGGCCTAATTAATTTATATCAACTGACTGATTTCTTTATGTGAACTGTAACTCAGTAAAATCATTGAAATTGTTGCATGTTGCGTTTATATTTTTGTTCAGTACATGAACAAGCCATCCATTGTGCATGTCACAGGGTGTGGTTTGAAAAGCCAAAGAATAAAGGTTAATGTTTTGACACAGTTCATTAAGCTTTTCTGACTGTGAATATCTAACCCATGCATAATAAAAAAAACATACATTTCCAGGAGGTATTCAAGCACAACGGCAACAGAGCCTATAATTTCAATATTTTCCTTATTACAGAGAAATATTACTTTTAAATATTCTGTTTTCTTTTTCGTTCATTTGAATAAATGTGAATTGAAGGTGCATTGGCATGGTGAGCATCTGATCTCAGGATATTTATTATCAGTTAACGTTCTCGTGCGCTTGTTCAGGGGCATATTCATTACGCCAAATCTGTTGCAAAACGTTTCTTAAACAGAAGCAAACGGAATGAAACAGGGTAGGGACATACTTGAATGTGTCCAATAGAAACCCTCGTTTATAGTTGCAAAACGTTGCGTTTTGCAACTGTTTGGACTAATGATTACACCCCAGTTTGCCTCCAATCCGTGGCGTGACATAATTAAAGATGGGCTGGCTGTTCAGTCTCGCCTTTTCTCCAAGGGATAAAATCATGAGGCGCCGCAGTCTTGGAGAAAGCTAGCTAGCTCAGTTACGAACTGACCTACACGTTCTAGCAAGAAGTTGATGCAGTCTATAATCAAAGACGGTAAACTGTGCTATAATCTTTCGGTGGCCTTGAAAAGCTGAACTCGCTTAACAATAGGCGTATATAGCTAGCTAGCTAACGTTAGCTAGCTTGCTAGGGGATAACCAGAAAGAGGGAGAGCTCGAGCGTCCAGCGTCTTTGATCATGTTAGGTAACGGCAAGAAGCCAGTGAAGAATGGAGCCGGGACGCCCGAATCAAAGACTATCGACCCTCTTAAAAATTTAGGTAAGCATTTGGCGGATTAACGTTAGCTATCTCAATGTGAAAGAAATGTATATCTGGGAAACTGGTTCATAGCCTAGGTATTTTCATGTAGTAGGCTGGCAGGACCGTTATCTCTGTATGCTCACAAAAACATAGCTTGCTACCGGTATCACTATCCAATCCCCGCATCCCATACATGCCTGGAGCCAAGCACTTGTTGGGTTGTGTTGTAGATCAATAATTTGTTTAGCTAGCTAACCATTAATAATTGGCACATACGTTGCTAACGTGTCCACAATTGGTGCATACTATTTCACAAATAACAATACAGTAGGCTACAGAACAGGTCATATTATATTCCTGAAATTACAGAAGAGAGAAGACATTGATTAAAAATATCTGCACTATACACTTTCCATTGCTGTTCTGAGTTTAACGTTACTTTGAAGGGCTTCCAGTAGGCTATTCTCAACGCACCAGAAAATGAGGAAAAATGAGGAAAAATCAGTCATCAAACCAATAATAATTGATCAGTGTAAAATGTATGATTAGAAAGTTATCAGCATTTATTACATGGTAATTGACCTCTTGTAAGGGCTATAATTCAGGGATTCTTGAAAGACGGAAATATATTTGCCGCTAAGAATTCAAGTTCAATACAAACATTTGTAAAATATGCAAAATGTTTATTTTGAAAATCCCCAATAAAAACATAACCATTCTATTAGAAATGTCAGCAATCGGACAGAGTTGACTTTAGACACATGTTTTACGGAGTTGAAAATAATATACATTTTCTTCTTCATTCAAATGTTATACACAGTAGCAATTTTGTTTTTCCTCAGTTGCTTTTTGACTGTAAAACCTAATTAAATGTAACATATTTGAGCAAAAATTCATATTCTATCATAATCTGTCAGGCAGATGGAGTTGACAGTTTATACATTTACATTTTAGTCATTTAGCAGACGCTCTTATCCAGAGCGACTTACAGGAGCAATTAGGGTTAAGTGCCTTGCTCAAGGGCACATTTACGTCATTTAGCAGACGCTCTTATCCAGAGCGACTCACCAATTGGTGCGTTCACCCTATAGCCAGTGGGATAATCACTTTACAATTTTTTTTTTAGGGGGGGGGGGGGGGGGGGGGGGGGGGGTGTAGAATGATTACTTTATCCTATCCCAGGTATTCCTTAAAGAGGTGGGGTTTCAAATGTCTCCGGAAGGTGGTGAGTGACTCCGCTGTCCTGGCGTCGTGAGGGAGCTTGTTCCACCATTGGGGTGCCAGAGCAGCGAACAGTTTTGACTGGGCTGAGCGGGAACTATGCTTCCGCAGAGGAAGGGGAGCCAGCAGGCCAGAGGTGGATGAACGCAATGCCCTCGTTTGGGTGTAGGGACTGATCAGAGCCCGAAGGTACAGAGGTGCCGTTCCCCTCACTGCTCCATAGGCAAGCACCATGGTCTTGTAGCGGATGCGAGCTTCAACTGGAAGCCAGTGGAGTGTGCGGAGGAGGGGGGTGACGTGAGAGAACTTGGGAAGGTTGAACACCAGACGGGCTGCGGCATTCTGGATGAGTTGTAGGGGTTTAATGGCACAGGCAGGGAGGCCAGCCAACAGCGAGTTGCAGTAGTCCAGACGGGAGATGACAAGTGCCTGGATTAGGACCTGTGCCGCTTCCTGTGTAAGGCAGGGTCGTACTCTCCGAATGTTGTAGAGCATGAACCTGCAGGAGCGGGTCACCGCCTTGATGTTGGCGGAGAACGACAGGGTGTTGTCCAGGGTCACGCCTAGGCTCTTCGCACTCTGGGAGGAGGACACAGCGGAGTTGTCAACCGTGATGGCGAGATCATGGAACGGGCAGTCCTTCCCCGGGAGGAAGAGCAGCTCCGTCTTGCCAGGGTTCAGCTTGAGGTGGTGATCCGTCATCCATACTGATATGTCTGCCAGACATGCAGAGATGCGATTCGCCACCTGGTTATCAGAAGGGGGAAAGGAGAAGATTAGTTGTGTATCGTCAGCGTAGCAATGATAGGAGAGGCCATGTGAGGATATGACAGAGCCAAGTGACTTGGTGTATAGGGAGAAAAGGAGAGGGCCTAGAACTGAGCCCTGGGGGACACCAGTGGTGAGAGCACGTGGTGCGGAGACAGCTTCTCGCCACGCCACTTGGTAGGAGCGACCGGTCAGGTAGGACGCAATCCAGGAGTGAGCCGCGCCGGAGATGCCCAGCTCGGAGAGGGTGGAGAGGAGGATCTGATGGTTCACAGTATCAAAGGCAGCAGACAGGTCTAGAAGGACAAGAGCAGAGGAGAGAGAGTTAGCTTTAGCAGTGCGGAGAGCCTCCGTGGCACAGAGAAGAGCAGTCTCAGTTGAATGACCAGTCCTGAAACCTGACTGGTTTGGATCAAGAAGGTCATTCTGAGAGAGATAGCAAGAGAGTTGGCTAAAGACGGCACGCTCAATAGTTTTGGAAAGAAAAGAAAGAAGGGATACTGGTCTGTAGTTGTTGACATCAGTGGGATCGAGTGTTGGTTTTTTGAGAAGGGGAGCAACTCTCGCTCTCTTGAAGACGGAAGGGACATGGCCAGCGGTCAAGGATGAGTTGATCAGCGAGGTGAGGTAGGGGAGAAGGTCACCGGAGATGGTCTGGAGAAGAGAGGAGGGGATGGGGTCAAGCGGGCAGGTTGTTGGGCGGCCTGCAGTCACAAGTCGCAGGATTTTATCTGGAGAGAGAGGGGAGAAAGAAGTCAAAGCATAGGGTAGGGCAGTGTGAGTAGGACCAGCAGTGTCATTAGACTTAACAAACGAGGATCGAATGTCGTCAACCTTCTTTTCAAAGTGGTTGACGAAGTCATCCACAGAGAG